CTCCTTTCCTGAAATGTATAAATGCATCCTTTTGCCTGTGGAAGTCCTTTTATCAGGTGTTTCCCAAATTGCCATTATTTTCTGGAGGGAATTATTCCAGCGCAGACTGAATCAACAATAACTTTGTGAGCCTTGATTCTCGGTTTTGAGGTCCTGCGTTTGATTCCACAGTAGACTCTGTTGTAGGCAAATTCATGGGACCAGTAGATAATCGGTCTTTTCGGTAAAAGCTCTGAGCAGATCTCATAACTTGGACAATAATTTCTCTGCCATGATTCTCGTAATATTAATAGGAAGTGGGAGTTGATAAATGGCTATATAAAGGGGGTCGGTTTTAAAAGGCAGCCCCATTGGTCACTCTATTTCCATATTTGTTCTTCAGATTCAAGAGTGCGACTCTGAAAACAAGGCTCCCTCCAAGTGGGAGGTGGAGATCCGTCCAGATCAGCTGGCTCATAGCAAAGCCAAAATCCTGTCCCTCATGAACTCAGGTTCCGTGAAGGATCTTATGGACCTACACCTCATTGGCAAGAAGAAAGCAGAGCTCATTGTGAGCTGGAGAGAAAATTACGGGTCTTTTCAGAAGGTTGGTGAACTCAGAGGGTAGAGTTTATTTGGGACATATTGCTGACCCCCTAATTTCTCACTTAAATCAAGCAACTTTTTATCATGTGAGCTCCACACTTTTTTAAAATAACAATCCAATTCCATTAATGTGCTTCAGCCATTGTGTGCCAGTTTTGTTAGTTTGGGGCGTGAAAATCATAAAAGTGATATCTGCTTAAGTATGTGATGTTCAACAGGACTATTTATAGTTAGCCTGCTGTAAATTGTTTAAAATGTAGACAATCCAGATTCAAAATCCTCATGGTATTGTACTTTATGCCCCAATAATAATAGTACTGTTCTTGTTTTCTTTTAAATGTTTGCAATCTTCCTTTTCAAATCTGGGTATTTTGTAATCCTCCCCAATTCCTCCTCCTCCTCCTCACCTTTGAAGACGATGAAGGGCATGGAAATGTTGCACCGAAGATAGGTGATAGATATGTTAGCCTCTAGTATAATTTATATCCTTTTACTGATACTGCATTGCAACAAGCAAAGACAATTTTGCTACTACAACTTGACTATTTTGGTGGCACTCTACAAGTCCTCAATTACTTGTTTAACCATTCATTTAGTTACTGTTTGAAGTTATAATGGCATTAAAAATGATTTATCGTAGGTTTTCACACAGATTGCAGCATCCTCGTGATCATGTGACCAAAATTCACACGCTTGGGCAACTGGCATGAATTGATAATTGCAGTGTCCCTGGGGTCATGTGATCACCATTTGTAAATTTCCCAGCTGGCTTCCAACAAGCAAAGTCAATGGGGAAAGCCAGATTAACTTAACAACTTCATAATTCTCTCAACAATTGCAATGGTTTGCTTAACAACTGTGGGGGGGAAAGTTGTAAAATGAGGCAAAACTCATTTATATAAAAGCCACTATTGACAATGGAAATTTTGGGCTCAGTTGAGTCGTAGGCTGAGGGATACCTGTATAAGGAAGAGTTCTGAGGATCATATAGTTAATATTTTTTGCCCAGTCTAATTGATGGGTCATACCTTATTATATCTTTATTTTTCTTTTTATAGGTACAGGACCTTGAGAAAATACACAGTATTACAGCTAAGCAAGTAGACTCTTTTATTAAGGTATGCATTTAGTCAAATTTCTACTCAGTACAGAGAAAGTTTATCTAAATTATGTAATGTAATTGGATCAGAATTCTATTTGGCAGTGTGGCTGATGGCAAGAAATGATGGAAATTGTCATTCAACATCTGGAAATTCTACCTTTGTGTAAGCACATGAATACTCTGTTTGATTATAAATCCCCATATTTATCCAGCATCTATATTTATGAGTTAAACAGTAAAGACTTAGCATAAAGAAAAATAAAGGTAAGTAGTGGTAACAAATAACTACAGAGAAGTATATAGTTTCTTACTCAAAGCCAGAAAGGTTGCTAGCTTCATAATTTGCTAACAAAAATAATAATTTTACTTTTTAATGAGAAGTGATCTTTAAAGGCTAATAGTTTTAGAAAGACTGCTCTGTGTTTCCTTTCTACTATAAAGCAGAGTTTGTCTCGCTTAACAGCAGCAGAGGAGAAAATAAGTGATTTATTCTTACTCCACCTTCCTAGATAGAATTCCTTGCCACCAATAGTGACTAGTTTAATAATTAAGCACATTCTTAATTAAGATAGAGTTTCTGAGTGTTGTATTAATGGCTTGATATTATAAAGGCTAAATTTGCACATTTTAATAAGGGACAATTCCCAGATTAGCATTTGATGGATTATAAAAACATTGTGCGCTGAGTTACAGATGATATTTCATTCCCCTTAGTTGCTCACATTAGCAAACCAGAAAACTATACATTTAGAATTTTCATGTATTCATGTAGCAGCTTTATTTAAATCACATGAAAAAGGGAATAAAGGATACAAACAAAATGAAAAGGAACAGGACACAAGAGAGACAGTTGAGTACCTAGAATTGGTCAAGCTTACAGCAGACCTGATAAAATTAATTAAACTTGTTAGTCCTCACTAATTTGATCCACTATAATTGGTGGATTTATTCTCCAATTTGAAGCATCTGGATCCAAACTACAGTTGGAAAGCTTCCATCTGAAACAAAACTAGCTTGCTTCTGATAGGTTAAGGGAGAATGTTTTTTAAAAATATCTTTACTTTACACACATAATTTTTATTAAACATCAAAATATATACAAATGAAAACAATGGAGAAATGGGGGAGAGAGAAATGTAGGATAAAGAAGAAAGCATTAGCTTCAGTGCAATGGAGAAATATTACAGTTTCAACTTTTACTTTTCCATAATTAATAGTCATTTTTATAACAAATTTGTCTAATCAGCAAAACCCAAAGTAAAGATTTATTTATTTATTTTATTTCAAGCACAAATCCTTTTGGTTTGCAACAGGAAATTTCAGTCATGGAGAAAATCAGGCAATGTCTACTGATGGAATAGTTCAGAAAGTAACTATATTCTTTATCTTTGATCAATAAAGGCTTAACATTGCTCTTTTCTAATTATCCAGGCAAATATCCTCAAATTTCCGAAATCTTAAGTAACTGGAATGGCACTATGAAACAGCATCTTCCACCACAGGCTTTTTAAAAATTATTATTATTGCTCGTGTGTTCATTTTTATTTAAACTAGTATAGATATTTAGCTATATTAGATGTTTAAATCTCAGAACAATATTTTTAATGATTACATTGCTCATCCTTTGCCTTCCACTGTAAACAATCTAGCATTCACAACTATCAAGGCATCAATGTTCTGCATAAAGAAAATGGCAATATTTTCAGTGGAAAAATATGGGGAAATGATTAATTTTTAAATTCTAGACAATGCTGTCTCAGACAATTCCCTTTTTTCAGTTTTCTTGGTCTTTGTCAAAAATTCTGAACTTAAGCTAGTTATTTGGGATTTTATTCCAAAGATTTGTATATATTTTCTATCCTACATTAAAATTTGGTATAGCCAGCCTACAATGTTTATTTTGTATTTTTAAAAAGATTGGCCCAGTTAACCAGGTTTTGTAAATTATAAAAGTTTGGAATATGTCCCCTCATTGCTAATGGTCAAGGATAATGTTGCTCCTGGATTCCCTAGCTTTATTCCAGAATCAGAATTGTTCTGCTATGGGTGTTGTGCTTTGGACTCACAGAAATTGTCATGCTCCTGGTGGAGACTGACTCAGAGAGATGAGGAACAGCTGACAGGGAGTGGAAGTGTGGCTCCTGAGGTGGAGGAGGCTGGGGAAGGGCAGAGTCCAGTTGGGCAATCAGAGGAGGGCCCAAGCCCAACTCCTCTCCATCCTACGGCACGCAGGGAGGAGAGGATAAGGGAGAGACGTGATCTACTGGGGAGGAGAGGGCCTTGATCCTCTTCATGGGCTGCAGCTGTGACAACTGCATAAGAGGACAGACATGCCTACGGGCAAGTGCTGGAAACAAAGCGTGGAAATACCTAGTTTATTGTTCCTCTCTGAGTTTGGTGTCCTTCCCAGTGTGTGTTCTGATATCTATGGAGGTCTTCAAGCCCTTATCTTGCCTGGTTTGTGTTGTTTTTCACTCTTTATAATTTAAACGGCATTTCCTCCTTGTAACAGTTTATGTGGGAGTTTTTTGTCTCCAGTCAAGGATATTTGGAGCTTGAAAGTAAAGTGAAGGAATAAAAAGGGCTTCACCTGTTTTTTGTGACTGTGTTTATTTTGTATCCCACCCTGGATCATCACAGAAATCAGTACAAATTGTTTTCAAGCGATTTGACTAATAACTCCCATGAAGCCAAATGTCTATCAAGATTCTCAGTTATCCAGTTCATGGTTGTCCCAAAGGTGTTTTTTTTTCCAAAGGCAACTGGACCTAAAGCCAATCGTATATACCAGTAAATTTTTGATTCAAATGATGCTTCCTCTTTAAAATCTTTGCAGAACACACAGTCATGAAAAATCGAGTGAGGCTTTATTAATCTAATCTGAAAAAATCTTGGCAAAGGTATTATGGGTTATATGAGAACAGACACTAAACAATTGTATTCTCACCCGAAATACTTAATGTCTTTTAAAATGCACTTATAGCATTTATTCACCTGCTAAAGCAGGGATGTTTAACTCACAGCACACAGGCTGGATGTGTCACACACTGGCCATGCCCACCCCTTGGTTTAGTGAAGGGGGGGAAGTTGCAATGTGTCACATGACAAACATGTTGCGAGTTTGACAACCCTGTGCTAAAACAAAGAAACACCAAACTATCTCAATGGATTGAACACTTCTTTATTACCGGACGGATTTCTACCAGCCACCCTTCCAAGCTCAGCAAAACACAGGGTTGCAATGAAATAGATAGGGATACTTATTTCTGAGATTTGAATTATAGTAGCTTCTGCTCCAAATATGGCAATGCCCAACAATAAATAGAGGGGTGTGCTATTGCTCTTGATGTAAAGCATACCTCTGTGATCCAGTGAGATGCTCTAGACTTGAAATTTGGTATCTGTGTGGCATGACTGCTTGTAGCCATCAAATTGGTACTGGACTTGTCCCAGGCATTGCTTTCCATTTGCTCATCAGTTTCTTTAAAGTGATGTTTTCCAACCAAGTTCTTGTTTTTTTCCACCAATCAAGGCCTTTCACTGATGACCTCATTCGACTAACGTATCAGTCAGTTGGAAAATAAGAAAAAAGCATGCTAGAGAAGCAGAAATTATTAATTTACATTTACAAATATTCTTAATATAGGCTCTAAGTCAGCTGTTGGGGAAGGGAGGAAAGAAATTTCTTCCTATGTACTTCCTTCTGGTTGCTGTTTGCCTTTGACCTAACCCAGTAACATGTAAATGTTCCTCCTGCATGTTGCTCATCTATGAAGTCAAGAACAATGAAACAAGCTACCGTGTTTCTCCAACAATACGGCCTCCAACAATAGGAAGGCCCAGCATGATTTCTAGGCATGAGGTGAAATTAAGCCCCGCCCCCAAAATTTAGGCCTATTTAAACCATGCGTTTCCCCGCCATTTCTCACATCGTTTGTTAGAACTACACGGGGTAAAGAGAAATGGGGGGGAGTGAGGAGAAAACTTGCCTTTAGGAGTGCCCTGCAGGTAGCCTAGGCTAGAATACCCCGATAGCTGATAGAAGCTCCCCGAAGGCAATGTCCCCAGCCGCTTCAGGGCATGGCGTGGCTACCCGTGTCCCCTCACCTTTAGGGCAGTTTCTTTCGGGCGATGGAAGCTCCCCAAGGGCAGTCACCAGTCACTTCGATCCGCCCGTACAAGCGGCCTCGGGGCGAGCGCACACACACCCTCTCCTCACTGCAAGGCTGCTTCTACCGGCCGATTAAAGTGGCTGGTGACTGCATTTGGGGAGCTTCCATCGCCCGAAAGAGACTGCCCTAAAGATGAGGGGACACAGGTAGCCACACCATGCCCTGAAGCAGCAGGGGACTCTGCCTTCGGGAAGCTTTCGTCGGCTGATAGAAGCGGCCTCGCGGCAAGGGGAGTGTGCGTGTACGCTCGCCCCGAGGCCGCTTGTACCGGCCGATCGAAGTGACCGGTGATTGCCCTTGGGGAGCTTCTATCGTCCGAAAGAGACTGCCTAATGACGAGGGGACACAGGCAGCCATGCCTCGCCCCGAAGCGGCTGGGGACTCTGCCTTCGGGGAGCTTTCGTTGGTCGATAGAAACGGCCTCTTGGAGAGGTACGTGCGTATGGGCCACTCTAGGTGGAAGAGGAAATTAAGTCACCCCCGAAAAGACGGCCTAGCCATTTTTTCAGGGGTCAAAAAAAAATAAGGCCCGGCCTTATTTTGTGAGAAACACGGTATATATTTTTACTTATAATCTACTGAGAGCACCACCCACAGAGGTAAAGGGAGGGCATATGTTTTATTTTCTTTCTGCCACCCCATTTTTCCCTGCATCCTACATCTTGCTTTCCAAAATCTATAATCCCCCCACAAATCCATCCTTTTGCCTTTAGAGTTGGCATGTCCAACCCATGGGCCCTATGCAGCCCTAGATAGTACATACAAGGTAGTAAATTTTTAACATTTTGTGTGTGTGTGTGTATAAGTGGCCCAAGACAATGTGGCCATGCAAGCCAAAAAGTTAGACAAGCCTGTTTTAGAGAAAACTGATTAGCGTAATCACTTTCCAACATCATGCTCTGGTGTTTCTGACAAGCAAAGTCAATAGGGAAAGCCAGATTCACTTAATAATTGCAATGATTCACTTAACCCTGGCAAAAAAGGTAAAATTAAACATGACTGCTTTACTTACCAATGAAACTTCTCAATTGTGATATGTCAAGGGCTACCTATGCCATGTTGTTACAATCAAAGTCTTGTGACAAGACCACACCTAGAGTCACTGCATCCAGTTTTGGTCACCACACTATAAAAAAAGATGTTGAGGTTCTAGAAAAATTACAGAGAAGAGCAACCAGAAGATTAGGAGACTATAACATGAAGAATGGTTGCAGGAACTGGGCTTGGCTAGTTAGTGAAGAGAAGGGGCCAGGGAAGACATGAAAGCGGTCTTCCAATAGTTGAGGGGCTGCCACAGAGAGGAAGGGGTCAAGCTATTTTCCAAGGCCCCTGAAGGCCAGACAAGGAATAATGGATGGAAACTGAACAAGGAGAGATTCAACCTGGAAATAAGGAGAAATTTTCTGACACCGAGGACAATCAACCAGTGGAACAGAAGCTGTGGGCGCTTCATCAGTGGAAGCTTTCAAGAAGAGGCTGGACAGCCCTCTGTCAGAAATGGTGTTGGGTCTCCTGCTTGGGGGGGGGGGGGGGGGGTGATTTGATGACCTACAAGGTCCCTTCCAACTCTGTTGACCTGTTAATCTGACATCTTAAAAAGGACACACAAATGTGGTCATAATAGTTCACGCCATGTAGTGGACTGTAAATCAACTGAAGTAACATTCATGTTTTCAGATGCCATGAAGCACAAAAAGACCTGGGAATGATTTCCAAGAGTATTCTCTTGAGTTCAAGTGTTACCTCAATCTTTTGCCCTCAACCTAAAGCAGCTTCGCATAACATTAGATCTGTATCTTATTCAAGCAGCATATTGTAATTAAAAGCTTCTATGATCTGGATCGCACAAAATACAGATCACGTGTAGGCACCCCAAAATGCAATGACCTCCACAGATTAAATTTGTTGGGATTATTAAATTCATTCTGTGTGGCCCCAGCCATAATTCACCAAAGCCAGGAGAAATGAAAAATTATGTGCGCAAGTACAAGTACTCAAATGTTGATTTTTAGCTTCACACAGCCTATAAAAATAACACCAGGATCAGTTATATACCTCACCCACCCCTCACGTTGCCTAATGAAAGACTAGCAGCACCGCCCAAATGCGCAGAGGAAGGACCCACCCCGCTGATGGCGTGAATACCACGTGTGGCTCAGCGCTAGAGCCTGCGCATGCGCTCCCCAGCAACCTCGCTTGAGTCTTCCATCACTCCCTTTCTTGGCCCTTCACTGCGGACGCGATTTCACTTTCTGCGCAGGCGCAAGTTTACAACCCTCCCCTCTGCGGGAGGGTGAAAAAAGTCAACCCGCCTGTTTTAAGCAGGCCGGTACCCGGATGTATAGAGTAACTGTTCCACTGAGGGTGGGGGGAATGGCGCGACGGGGCGCCTGAGAGCATGCGCACTATCGCCCTCCATTCCTCTTTATCTTGGGTCGAGGCGTACTACGGAGCTGCTGCCCCGGAGTCCAGGCGGACTGAAGGGGAGGGGCCTGGCTTGAGCCCACCCTGCTCCCGTGGGGGAGGTGAGTGGGTCAGGTGGGCGAGATCGGGTGCGGCAGGAAAAGGGTGCTAGGTCTGGGCTGCAGAAACCAGAACTATCACTAGATGGCAGCAAAGGATCATAAAGAACCTCAATCGCTTGCTGCCATCTATGGATGGCCCAGGATTTGCGCCCAAATTTCTCCCTGAGAGGAAAGTAATAGGCAATCTGTCGTAGGTCTAATGCAAGGGAAAGAGTTGGCGAAAGGGAGATCCTGGTGAAGTCTTAAATAAGACTTACTTTCTGTAAGCCACTTCAAGTCGTTATGGGCAAATAGGCAGCAATATAAATTCAATAAATAAATAAATACTTGGACAATGGACTCGTCCATAGCAGAAGCTGTCACTTACTTCTGATATGTATTAATATCCTGCTTTTCTCACATGCAGGCATACCCCAAGGTTTCAGTCAAGAAAATCAATAATAGTAATAATAAATAATGCAAGACAGCCTGGTGATGGGCAGGCAGGAAAATGAATACAGCCACATCTCGGGAGCACAAGGACTGGGCACAAGGGCAGCAGGGTGGAGCCAGGCGGTACAAGGAAATGATCCCGCTGGGCAGGGATGTTTGCTGGGGCAAAGACCAGTTAGCACAAAGTTGAGGGCAAAATAAACCTACTGTTTCCTACTAGCAGTGCCAGGTGTGTGGAGTGTCTGAAGCAGAAGGTAGGTTGGGATGTGCTAGATCTCTAATATACTCTACTCTACCGTGCAGATTGGTTTCTATGAACATACCGAACCAACTTCTGTAATGTCCGACAACCAGTATGGGTGGGTGAATTACGGACATTCAGTGTCAGCATCTTTTGAAGGAAACCGCTTGGGTGGGAAGGTGGCTCAATCGCTTTTGAAACCTAAAGGGAGTTCCTTTCAGTTAAATTCCAGGGGGAAGGCTGTGGGGGAAAGTAAGAATGCGATTTGTGTGTGAAAAGATTGATGGGGTGGGTTGATACTGATCACTAGTTCCTTGTTGGAGCCTATGTCTGGTCTAGTACATTTGTGTGTTGTCTTGAGTTGTTTAGATATATTGACTAAACATCACTTGTTTGGCTTTACCCAGTATCAAACAAGCAAGACACTATGTGGCTTAGTGTGATGCGTCACTCCAATCATTCTGTTTGTGAACTGTTAATGAAAAGGATTACTTATTTGGCTCCAGTTAGTAACCTATAAAACAGATCCCGTAAGCTTGAATGAAATCCATTGCTGCTACCTGCATTATGAAATGAATCCAGTTTTTCTTGCAGAGGGTACATATAAAGAGGGGAGGTGATAATGAATGGCAGAGTTGCAGAGAGACATTTAGCCAAATAATACTGGAAATAAATTTGCTGGGAGAATTTCCAAGCCTGCATCTTGTTTTTTCTTTAAAGACAAACAAAAATGGGCTGCCTTTTAAAGAAAGTCAAAAAGGGATTCTGAAATGCTTCAGCTAATGCTCCGTGCAGGAAATCTGCTGTTGAAAGGTCTCCTTGTTCAGTTTCTCCTTTTTGTAGGTGGCTATGTCTGCTGAGGCCACAACAGATTCATCCCCATCCCTGGAGAATTGTGCTCCGCTGGTCCCAACCCAGCACCGACGGGATGGCAGGGGTGGGGTAAATGAGGTGACTTTGGATCTCAAGCCCCTGAACCCCAGCAGCAAGTATGTCAAGCTGAATGTGGGAGGATCTCTGCATTACACCACCGTGCAAACCTTGACCAAGCAAGATACCATGCTCAAAGCCATGTTCAGTGGCCGAATGGAAGTCCTCACAGATAGTGAAGGTATGAGTCTTAGCTTGCCCCATTTCTCCCACAGCTAGAAATGGATTTTCTGCATGATGGGAGATTGCATTGGGAGTTCATCCAAGGTGGTTCCTAGGGAGCCCTTGGAAAATTTCAGGATGACTTATTCCAGCTTTTCTAACCTCAGCAACTTTTAAGAGGTTTGGGCTTTGACTCTCAGTATCCCCCAGCCAGGCTTGCTTGATACTTCCTGGAGATTTCCCACCCAAGTATTAACAGGGCCAGACAAGGTCAACCAAATCCTGCCACTTGCCAAGGCATAATATCCAAAGTAGATTCCTAAAAAAATATTGTGTTAGTTACATTTTCTTTTTTGAGATATGAAGTACATTGTAAGCCCATAATTAATTAAAAGAAGAACTTGTTCTTCTAGCATCAACACAATCTTGTATCAGTACAAATAATAACTGTATCTTCCGCTCTAAGCCATTTTAGAATGAGGAGATCGCCTAAGTAGATCCTTCACTCTCTACAGCAGGGTTTTTTGGCCTTGACCACTTTGAAGACCTGAGTACTTCAATTTCTAGAATTCCCCAACCTGCATGGCTGGCTGTTGAATTCTGGGAGTTGAAGTCCATATACCTTAAAATTGCCAAGATTGGGAAACCCTGGTCTGCAGCATTTTTAACACATTAATTTTAGGGACTAAAATTAACTGCTTTTCCAGGTTGGATCTTGATTGACCGAAGCGGCCGCCATTTTGGAACTATTTTGAATTATTTGCGAGATGGTTCAGTATCTCTTCCAGAATCACAACGGGAGCTGGAGGAAGTCTTGTGTGAAGCCCGGTACTATCTGATCCAAGGTTTGGTTGAGGACTGCCAGCTTGCACTACAGGTGAGGGTGGCTGGGCTGAGAAATTAGAAGGCCCAATGACTTCCTTGAGTCTCCTTGAGAGATTAGAAGAGAGGAAAACAAGAGAGAGAGAGAGAATATCCCCAGATATTACACAAAAAGCATAGATACCTACATTAATACATATATTCTCCCATTTTTTGTATGTTTATATTGAGTATCATATTAGAAATCATATAATTTTCAAGTCTTACTTGCAGTTTCCTTTTTAATTTTCTGTTAGACTCTATGCCAGGTGTGTCCAGCCCACAAGCCATATACAGCCCTGGACAGCTAGCAATGCAGCCCAAGATCATAAACTTTTAAGATTATGTCCATTCACACACATTAACTATGTGTTACACACACACACACACACACACACACACACACACACACGTGACCCAAAACAATTCCTCTTCACTTAGTGCAGCTCAGGCAAGGCAAAAAGGTTGGAGATACCTGTTCTATGCCTTTTAATTTTAGTGCTAAACCTTCCTTGAGCATACATTGATTTGGTTTACTTCAGTTTTTTTCAAACTTGACAACTGTATGATATATGGATCTCAATTCCCAGAAAACTGGGAGTTGAAGCAAGCCCACTCATCTTAAAGTTACAAAGTTTGAAAAACACTGGTTTACACATTGCTCTGCACCATGGTACAATTTATTTAATTGAACCCATTGTGCAAACACAGTGGTTATGTATTCTAAGCCACTGTTTATGGCCTAACAGCTTTTGTGAACCCAGTCAATTATGGCTTATTCAAAAATCGTGTTTTAGCACGATGTATGCATCTATTTAGTACATCTGTAAATAATGAATAGAAAGTCTAGAAAAAATGTTTCTTTCCTTCCTAGCAAAAAAGTGAAGCCTATGACCCTCTCTGCCATATCCCCATGGTGACATCTCCCAAGGAAGAGCAGCAGATCATCTCAAGATGTTCCAAGGTAAAGAGGCTGAGAAGCCACACAAGTTTTACCTCAGGAAATCATAGAGATCAGGCAAACTTAAGTGTCTTCAATGTATGTCCTCATATAACGTGGTATCAAGACAAGTTGAGGGTCCTTTTAAATGTGGTCTTCTCCATCCCCCATTATGAGGGAAGGTCTAGTTTGCTTTGCTATACCTCTTAGCAAGAAGAGTGGTGATCTTCAGTTGATTCATATTTCTCACCTTCCTTTTAGCCTGTGGTGAAATTACTGCATAACAGAAGTAATAACAAGTATTCCTATACCAGGTAAGCTGTGGTCCTGTTGTCAAAATAGGATGACCTTGGGATCGTTGCTATCTCCCAGGTTATCCACTGGTCCCATTTCTTTATTAGTATCTACACCCACCGTTTTCTTCTTTCTCCCTTTACCCCCATCCCATCCCGCGAAGTAACTCTGATGACAACTTACTGAAGAATATCGAACTGTTTGACAAACTAGCTCTGAGGTTCAACGGACGGGTGCTTTTCATCAAAGACGTTCTTGGGGATGAGATCTGCTGCTGGTCATTTTATGGGCAGGGCCGCAAGATTGCGGAGGTTTGCTGTACTTCCATTGTCTATGCCACTGAAAAGAAGCAAACCAAGGTAAGCTAGGCCGGTCCTCAGCTTTGATTTTCTAATTGTAGTCCTCAACTTATGACCACAGTGGAGTCCAAAATTTCTTGTTGCTAAGTAAGAAATTGGTTAAGTGAGTTTTGCCCCATTTTATGATTTTTCTTGCCACATTAGTTAAGTGAATCACTGCAGTTATTGAAATAGTAGCACGATTGTTAAGTGAACCTGGTTTCTCCATTGACTTTGCTTGTCAGAAGGTTGCAAAACATGATCCCGGGATGCTGCAACTGTCATAAATGTAATTCAATTGCCATGCATCTGAATTTTGATCACGTGACCACAGGGATGCTACAATGGTCGTAAGTGTGAAAAATAGTTATAAGTCACTTTTTTCAGTTCCTTTGTAACTTCAAACAGTCACTAAGTGAACTACTGTTAAGTCGAGGACTACCTGTATAGGTAGACTTGCGGTAGTTTGGTGACCATTCAGTTATGACAACCCCGCCAAAAAAGTACTTGTGGTCCAGATTCAAAGTTTTGACAGCCCCTCCTAGTCACATGATTGCATTTTGGCACTTCACAGCAGGTCACCATTTATGGCTGTTTGCAACGTTATGCGGTCACATGATCACACTTTAAAGTGTCTTTTGCCAAAAACCAGTGTTTGTTCCAGTGCCACTGTGGATAATGTGTTTGCTTAACAACTTTGGCGATTCATTGAACAACCTAATTAGCATGACTTACAGCTGTCATTCCAGGCTCAATTAAGTTGAGGACTACCTGTATGTTTTGGTATGTTAGGGGAATGTAAACTATGATCTCAAAGAAAATAGCCTTTTCTAAATCCAATTAAACATGTAAGAAGACAAAACTAGAGGTCTGTCTAGCCTAGAATTCTGTCCTTGCAATAGCTAACAAGATGCTTAAACTTGCAGGAAGGACACGAGGCAGCAGTTACCTCTATTTTGTATTCTTCAGCAACTGGCATTGAGCCTATTACTAGAGGTTAATTACATTGCTTCCAGTTTGAACAGGGGGTCCCTTAGTGAGGCTTAGACTTCCTTCATCCTGCTTTCCCTGGGCATACAGGTCGAGTTTCCCGAAGCCCGGATCTTTGAAGAAACGCTAAACATCCTGATCTATGAGACACCCCGGGTGCCAGACAAGGCCCTCCTGGAGGCCACTGGGGGAGTTGCAGGTGGAGGCGGAGGCCCCCTCCGTGCTGGTGATGATGAAGATGGACGGGAGCACCGTGTCCGGCGCATTCACGTCCGCAGGCACATTATGCATGATGAACGCCCTCATGGCCACCAGGCTGTTTTCAAAGACTGATCCAGCCTTGTTTTCGGGGTCTTCAACACTCCAATTTTTCCGTGCCAAAGGAGGACCGTTTTCCTTTTGATATTTCACCCAAGAGGTCCTCTATGGTGTTTGTGCTCTTTTTTTAATGTTTGGAGTTTTTAAAAAATAATAATCATCCTATTTCTTTGTAACTAATTTGAGCACATCTTCCCCTTCTCGCCTACTTTTATTGTGACAATAAAAGGCCTTGGTCTGTCCTATAATTGATTGGAATGTTCTAATTATTGATTTGAGTCTTAATATCCGACCTTGTCTCCCCAGCCAGCCCAATCAGTCTGCCTTGTAATCCTCACAGTACACAGAGATTAAGATTGTGGTCCTCTCTTCATAACTTCTTTAATCTGACCGCTTTCCTTTCAGAAAGGAGACTTCCATTTAGCTCTTCTAGTCAGGTGGCTTTATGGTTCCTTAAAGGCGGCTATAAACTTTACATCCTATGTCAAAATACCTATTTCAATTTAATTTTGGACTTATGTTTCTAAGGACCACCATTTTGCTACCCAGTCAATCTATTTTTCCGTTTCTTTTTCAGCTGTGTAAGACAAGGTGCTGTCTAGACAAATGTTGCTTATCTAGATTATATTATCATCTCAGGGGTGTCAAACTGGCGGCCCCGGCCAGGTGCATCACGCACAGGCTAGGTCCACCCCAGCTCCACAAAGGGGAAAAATGCCCTGAAACATCACATGACGGCAACGTGACGCCGTGAATTTGACACTCGTGATCTAGATAATAATGTTTAATTCTCCAGACTAGATTTTAGTGGGCTCTTTTTATCATGCTGCTTTGTCTTCTAACTGAATCCAAATTTCATCTGAAATCTCTCCACCCACTCATAATATATCTTTTAAAATGCTTTCCACCTTTAGTCATATATTGTCTATATAATATCCCCATGCTTCTGGCCACAATCAAATGCAAGGTTTGTTGGAAAATTCTCCATTTATTTGGAACACCGCAATACTTTATCCTGTCCAACCTATCACAATATTTGAACTCCCCTTCTGTTTTCTGTGGGAATGGTACAGTTTCACATTACATGTAGCAAATTCCTCTAGGGCATTCCAACAGCCCTTTAATCCAGTAATTTGATGGACTTTATTTGGATATGCCTAATAACGGCAGTAGAGAGAAAGTTGAGATTGTATTGAACTAATGTGTTATCTCAAGTTTTCCTGCGCCTCCCCAAATTCTTTCAGTATATCCTCCCCTCCCTGGAGATGGTTATCTTAAATTATTTAATTTTCTACTTCCATAATTTATTTAAACTGTGGAGTGTTTTTTTTTAAATTATTGTAATAAAGTTCCCTGCTTTAAAAAAATATGTTGTCTATTATTTCTCTCTTCCAGTGGACGGGTTGAGTCCTCAAGCAGGTGCTCTATCCTAGAATATTTAGTACCGCTTTCATTCATAGTATCTGCCTAAGCCAGGGGAGTTTGTTCTTTTCTTAAATTCAGATGCTATAGGGGAGGTTGCTGGGTCTATTTAGCAAGACATAAATCTAATCCCAGATTTACCTGTTCTCTGTGTAGCCTCTCATGGAGAAGTGGAAAACAGCATAGGTTTATGTTTCTCGTCCAGTTCTGGATCTTTCAGAATCTACATTTCAAAAGGTGTTTGGCTGTTAGTATGTCTTCTATATGAATTGAGTAAATCCATCCAATACATAAGAAAGGAAGGTTACTGTACAGGATTACATTAGTCTTAGAATAATTTCATCACTTTAAATGTACGCTAATCAGCATACATTAAAATGAAATTTGATTGCATACAGCTCTCAAAGGGTCATCATCTCCAGTATACATTACATAAACATGACAAATAAATAAAAAGTATGCATATACCCACATATATGACACAAGGAAACAACAGTCTAGTTTCGGTGAGTACATGAGTAGCTTCATTTTATTTTCTTTAAACTACTCTGATGGCTTTATATCTGTAATTTGTGGAGCGTATACACAAAAGACTTGATTAAGAACATAGAACATACCGACAGAAGTTCAAAAGTCATGCTAGAAAGTATTACTTCACAAAAATAGTAGTGGAAGCTTGGGGGCAATTTCCAGCAGAGGTAGTAGGTCAATTGTTAATAACTAAGTTTGAACTTGAGATAAATACGTCTCATTCCAAAAAAAACAAAAAAAAAAACCAAAGGCAGATTTGATGCACCACTGAGTCTTTTTTTTCTGCCATCAGTTTTCTACGTTTCTATCTGAGATATTGAGTTTAAATGGACTCCTGGGGATGGTAGAGGACAGGAAGGCCTGGAGGAACGTTGTCCATGGAGTCGCAATGGGTCGGACATGACTTCGCAACTAAGAACAATATCTGAGATATATATTAGATCTTTTCCTTAACCTAATGTCCTCAATATATTTTATACAACCCATGAATCCTATTTTTCATAGTCAATTGTCATAAAGACTTTAGAACTGGAAATCAAGCTCAGATTGATAGACATATTAAGATTGGATACAGCATTCCAGATATACATTTGCAGGAACATTTATGCAAGGAATATTTCAAAATGCTGTTTTAACAGCGTATAGCGCTAGGCCAGTGATAGACAACAGTGATAAAGATGCAGACACCTAAATTTTAAGGACTTCCTGTATTATCTGCTGCCCTTTAAGCTAACCTTGATTCTGCACAATTGTCTGGACTTGCTGTTTTCTTGGCAACATTTTCAAAAGTGATTTACCATTGCCCTCTTTCTATGGCTGAGAGACTGGCTGCAAAGTTATTCAGTTGGTTTTGCCTAAGTTGGAACTAAAACTCTTGCTCTTTAGATTTCTAACCTGAGCTCTTAGCCACCACACCAAATTGGTTCTGATACAGTGATACCTGCATTTAAAAATATATTTCAAACTACAATAGAAGCACTTGGATTGCTTTTGAATAAAAGTGATGTTTGAGGGATCTTTTATTTTGTGTGACCTTGTTTGCTTGCGGACATTTTACTACCCAAATTAAGTAACATGATCAATCACCAAACTGAAGGGAACACCAAAGGTTCTTCATTTCAACCCTGAGCTACAAATGTTCTCTTTTACTGCAACTGATAATTTTATTCCACCAGATGTTGTTGTTGCACAAGGATAAAAGTTTTCCCCCTACTTATATATCTACCTCATTTAATTGCTACTCCAAATTTAAGTAACCGCAATTACAAGTTTTTCCCAACAAGCATTGATAGAATCGACAAATATGTACCAAGGAACTAAATGAATAAAGTAGATTGGAAACATTTTTTACCCAAAGAAGTTTGATTGATCTTTAGTGTTGTAATTAATCTGAAGCTTTGCAGGTTAACTGCTTAAGTACTGCAATAATTTGCAAACCTGCTGGGCTACAAAAAATATGTTTGCAAGGATGAGAGAAAAAAAACCCTGATAGAATGGATCAAAGGGATTATGGCAATATCCTGGGTTTTTGATGTAGATAAATCAGAATGGCAAGAATCGGTCCATGCAGTCAGGAGTTTATCAACCAAACAACCTGTTCTATTTACTCAAACATAAATCCTTGGAATGTCTTTCCTAAACACACCTGCAGGTAAATGAAAGAGCCAACCCACTGAAAGCAAGGTGTAGAGTGCCAAAAATGAACCAAAACAAAGACTTAAATGGAGGCTTGAAAATCAAAGAAAGCAGACTTTATATTTGATTAAATCTAAAGCTGGGTAAGAAATTCCAAGCACATCACAAAAGATATGGGAAGAAAATTCTACAAAATACAGAAGGATGTTCTGTCCTTATACACAGAAAATCTTCATTCTTAGTTCTCTAATTACCTTGTAAATCTCTAGTCATGTAATCTAACTAGCTGTAAATCTCTAGTCATGTAATCTAACTAGCTGTAAAACTCTAGTCATGTAATCTAACTAAGATTTACATCTTCCTTCAACAGATTCCACTCCAGCAATGTTTACCTTTACATTCCCTGCGCTGTCCCAGCCAGTCTATGGGAATTGGATAGTTACTTAGGAATTATGAGCTGTTCCCTTAAGGGAATGCATCATGGTAAATGTAGTTAAAGGTATCTTGGGAAATGTAGTTCATGTCACGTGACCACATCTGTAATCTTGATTGGTCACTAGATTGACCTCGAGGGGTTAGGGGAGGTTTCCCTCCATTCTTGCCTGGACTCATGAACTGATAGTAGCTTCCTTCTTTCGCTACGAGATGAGTTAGGAGATAACCATCTTTCACCTGCAAGGCTGATATACAAAGGATTGGTCATTAAAGAGCTTCATCACAAATGTGAGTTATGAAGATACCTGATGTACCAATAAATGTACTTTGTTATGGATGTTTTGTGGAATTTATATATCTGCATCTGCACAGCTACAAATCCACCTCTGTGCAAGAGACAGAAAAGTAAAAGATGAATCCTAACCCATCAGAATAAATTTGTTAATTTTGGATTTGTGATAAAGCAATGTAATATTGAAGCCAGGAGTGAATATGCAATGTTAATCAAACCTGCATTTCCCACCGTCTCTCTCTCTATGAGCTATGGAACTCTTTACATGCTGTTTGCATGGTGGGAGGGGTTGGAATTCCCCCACATGCTACATACAAAGAGAACCAGTAACCCACCCATCCCTTCTTCATTTACGCAAGAGACTTTCAAATATCCTATTCTCTGGCTTAATCTGCGTCTTCCCATTGTTGGCTGAAGTAACCTTACAGCCTGTTTGGAATTGAAGGAAGGGGCCAGGTATTCCGCATCTCTTTCTATCTCCAGTTACAAACCATTTCCAAACGCAATGGAAAGTTTGAGAAATCTTGCATGTATTGCTAAAAGGAAAGGCTTCACATTCTTATGCTCTCAGCTGCTTCAAGAGGTAATAAAGGAGGCCTCTTCAGCTATTTTACAACTACTCTGGCCGGTTTATTGGGGGTCCTAAATCATTAGTGAAGGACTGTCTTCAAAGCAAAGAAGCACATTCCTTCCCCCAAGTCACAAGGCTGATTCACGCAAGCTATTTGAACATAATAATTCAAGGAGCAATTTCTTTTGTTTAAAAGCCTAACTTTCTTCATTACCTCCTATCTTTACTAAAAAATTAAAAGCATAACATGGCCACAGTGCATGCAACTTACTGAAGTATTTTTCGTAATGAATTTTTCCCTTCCAGCAAAATCAGCTAACACTCAACTATTAGCTTACAGCACCATCTGAAGTAGGCAATAAATTCCTTTGGGCAGTCAGCAAACTTCATAGCCACAAGGCTCCCACCCACCCCGCCCACATAAAGAGAGAAATCAGACTCAAGTAAAGCAGCCTACAGTTCCATCTGGTGGTCAAGAAGAAATGTATAGTGAAGTTAAAGAATTCTTACCATTTTTTCCCTTTTTCAAGAGTAGGCAGGAAATTCCCCCCCCCTCTTTTTTCTTCCACAAAGAAGTGAGACCTAAGCAACGCTGCCTACAGCTACATCTGGGGCTCAAGAAGAAATTTCCCAAACTTTGATTTTTTTACACAGTTTCTCAAATATTGACCAGAGTGTTTCTCCACTGATAATCCCTCTTTTAAAACTATTGTGGACAATTTAATCAATTTAATTCAAATGCCCCAAGAGTAACTGCAACCTCACATGGGCGTAGCAACAGCATCTTCCTGACCCTCTGCTGTCAGTTTGTGAAGCAAGTGACAATTATAGGCATATTTCTGCATTCCGCCCTCAAGTCTTCAGATTACGCTATGCACATTTCTGCATTCAGCCCTCTAGTCTTCAGACTTCGCGATACAACCTCTAGTGCCCTGTTGCGTTGCAAACTCATAATGCACCCTAGAAGCAGCCATACTGTGTGCTATGCTAGCATCACCCAGACTCTGCAGCACCACCTACGCGTTCAAGTATTAAATCCAGCAGCAATTCTACTTTCTGCTACCTGCTTGCAGCGCCCCCAGTACAAAAAAGGGAATTGCACAGAAAACCACTAGAATATTCCAAATTTCTCCCTTTGCCAACTTGAAGCATGGCAACTTCCTCAGCCACGACAGATGTCTCTGATGTAGCAGAAGACCTGAATCCTCCACCCACTCTTGTTGTAAACATGAAGCCTAGTTCCCAACAATCACCTTTCGATGGCCAACCCTATGGAGAAGCCACGATACCTCCGAAAGACTATGACCTCAGAAAGAGTAGGAAGCTTACCGACCCATGGAAGAACTCTTGAAGAATGACTGGCAGCAGCAAAATGACCGCTGCACAGACTCATGGGCGAAGCTTGAGAAGATCTGTGATACCCCAAAACATAAGCTGCCCCCCCGAGGAACTCTGCACATTGCTAGATGATCTAGATGCCCTTTTCGCATGGTGGAGATGCAGCAAAAACAACCTCAAGTCCATCCAGTCAAAAGTGGGTGAC